GCATCCAACTTTGGCTCAGGTCATGATCTCGCAGTTGGTGCGTTTGAGCCCCACGATGGGCTCTGTTGCTGACAGCTCAGAGCCAGGAGCCTGTTTCAGATTCTGTCTCCCTCTCTCTCTGCCCCTCCCCCGCTCAAGCTCTGTCTCTCTCTCTCTCAAAAATGAATAAATGGTAAAAAAAATTTCAAATAATTCTGTAATGAAATGTAACAATTAACTGTAGTATTAAAAAGTCCACAGAGTTTTGTGAACCTATGATAAAGAGGCTTCATCTAGGCTCATAGGTAAAGGATTTTGAGCAGAAATCTAAAGAAAGATTAAGAGTTAACTTTAATTAAAAAAAATTAAAAACAGTTGCTCCGTCTTTAGAGTACATCATCATTTTAAAAACATAGAGGAAATTATTTAGATCCTTTACAGAAATAAAACACACTTTGCATGGTTCTACTCATTTATAAGATGCATTTTATGACCAATAGTATGGACTTGTTTGACCATGTGATGTGCACTGGGGAAGAATGGATATTCTCCTGTTAGGGGTAGTATTCTATCAAATATTGTAAATGGCTTACTGAAATCCTAACTGTGACTATAGATTTATTAAACCTCAGTCATTTCTCCTTGCGAATCAGCTAGGTTTGATTCATATGTTTTGACGGTTTCTTATTAGGTGTGCAGAAACTTTTATGATTATTAAATTCAAATGATGAGCTGACCACTTTATCACTATGAAATTACCTTTTTTATTTCTGGTAGTATGTTTTGTTTTGAGTATATGTATATATACTAAAATAACCACCCTAACATTCTTTTAGTTAACATTAGCACGTAAAGTGTTCCCACCCTTTTACTTGTATCTATCTGTCTTTATATTTAGTGCATTTCTTAATGTAATTGTTTTGTTTTTGGATCCAATCTGATCATCTCTGCCTTTTGTGTATTTAAGGCACTTACAGTTAATGTAACTATTCATATAATTAGCCTTAAAGTCTATCGTTTTGCTATTTGTTTTCTGTTTCCCTCATCTTTTCCTCCTTTCCTTTTTCTGCCTTCTTTCAAATGTGGTATTATTCAGATTCAAATTTATCTTTTTTGGGGGGTTATTAGCTGTGACTCTTTACTTTCATATTTTAGGAGTTGCTTATATTCGTTTTCTATTGCTGTACAACAAATCACCACAATTTAGCATCTTGAAACAACACTCATATGTCATGTCTCAGTTTCTGTAGGTCAGGATTTCAGGCAGTTTCTCTGGGACAGGATTTTTACATTCTTCTCCGGGGACTCTAAGGTTGCAATCAAGATGTTAACCCAGCAGCATTCTTCTCGGGAGGCTCAATTAGGGAAGAATCGGCTTCCAAGCTTATCTAGACTGTTGGCAGAGTTCAGCCTCTTGTGGTTGTGTGACGGAGGGCCCCATCTTACCAGCTATCCACTAGGATCTCTTCGCCAGCCCTGGATCCCACATGATCCTCGCCACTGGCCTTTGCAACCCGCCTGTTTGCTTCCCCGAGGCCGGCAGGAGAGCTCTCTCCTTTGGTTTGCTGGGGAACATTATACAACGAAAGGGCATCACACGAGTGTGTGATTTGCTTAATGCAGCCTAATCAACAGATTGATACCCCATCACCAGTACTATATTCTGTTGTTTAGAAACAAGTCACAAGTTTCACCTTCACTCAGATTATACTAGGGAGTGACTCACTAGTGGCCTTCCTGGGGCGGGTCACACTGCTTCTTAAAGAGATCACAGTCCACAGCTTTATCTTTAGCCCAGTCTACTTTCACCGCACACACAAAACTTTGAATAAACAACAAAGATGTGTAATTTACTTGTGTTTCTTTTCTCCCCACACTTTTTTTGGGGCTACATTTTACTTGTGCATATAATTCCCCCGATTGCTATTTTTATTAATATAGTTTATTAACTTTAAAAAAAAGATTTAGTGGTAAAAAAAGACATTTTTATTCATGTAGTTGCCATTTCTGGCACTGTCCATTTCTTTGTATACATTTAGATTTCAATCTAATGTCGTTTCCTTCTAAGTTAAAAGATGTCTCGCCCATTTCTTGTAGCATGGATCTGCTAATGACAATTCCTTCAGCTTTTGTACGTCTGAAGTGTCTTTACTTAACCTTTGTTTTTGGAAAGTATGTTTCCTGTAACTTTCGAGCAGTGCTTTGAAGATGCGGCTCTAGTGTCATGTTTTTTCCATGGTTGCAATAAGAAAGTTACTGCAATCCTTATTGTTGTTCCTTTGTATATAACATATCCTCCCACATAAAGCTGCTTTCAAGGTTTTCTCCTATAGGTGATTTCAAGCTGTGCAATCATGGTATGTCTTGGGATAGTTTTTTAATGTTTTAATGTTTATTTGTTTAGAGAGAGAAAGTACGGGGGGGGGGGGGGGGGGGGCTCTGTCAGCAGAGTGTGTCGCTCCAACCCAAGACCCCTGAGGTCGTGACCCTAGCAGAAATTATGGGTCTGATACTTAACAGATGGAGCCACCTAGGCGCCCCTTGAATAGCTTTTACTTACAATTATGTAACCTTCTCCACATTTACCTCCTAAAAGAAACCCCAAGTCCTCCTGCAGTTGCTCTCAGCAGGCAACCAATGCCCATCTCCCCACCCTCCTGCTTCCCTGCCCCCACCCCAACCCTGGATGACCACTAGCTGGCTTTCTGATTCTCTTTACAAGTGCCTAATCTGGGTATTTCATGTAGATGGAATCATACAACATGTACTCTTTTGTGACTGGTTTCTGCCACTTACCACAATGTTTTCGACGTTCATCCATGCTTCAGTAAGTATATCTCATTCTTTCATTTCTGAAAATACCCCGTTGAGTGGATGCAGATTTGTTTTCCAGTTCACCAGCTGATGGACATTTGGATTGTTTCTACTGTTTGACTTTTGTAAATCATGCTGCTGTGGGCACATGTGTGTAAGTTTTTGTGAACACAGTTTCATTCCTCTCAGATCTATCCCTACAAGAAGGACTGTGGTCCATATGGTCACTCATGTTTAACATTTTGAGGAACAACTATACTGTTTCCCCAGGCAGATGAATCATTTAAAAAAACTTTTTGAAAACATTTTACTTTTCAGGGGCGCCTGGGTGGCGCAGTCGGTTAAGCGTCCG